TTTGGCATTCTAGGCACAACAACAATAAACAAAAACAATCACAGACTGATATACCTGTTTCTGAATGAAAAACAATACGTACCAAATGTCAAATACTGGGTGTGTCTATCGGGTACAGTGTGAAGTGTCGCATTTTAAACAGGCGCACTGTTGCGCCAGTCAAATCAACGAATTACAGCGCGCCCGTTAATTTCAGCGTGGCACGCTGTCGCGCTGTTCGAACAGAAATGCTGTAATAGCAGCCAATGAGGAACAGGCAATTTACAGCTGGCATTGTCCTGCGCTCGAGACTATTGAGCAGAGTTTTGCCCAATGTTTCAATGTCGTTTAGTGCTGCTTTTGTTATTCCGAATGTTCTAAGACCCAAAACTTCTCGCGCAGTGCAGGGAATTCGTTGCAGCTAATAACGGTTGTCACTTAACTAGAAAAAACGCGAATTATTTTTTTCCCGCCCAAATGGGCGACGACTCGCGAAATACAGCACGCAAGTGACTGCTGCAGGCAGCGACGATAACAGCCACCTGCCGTGCTCACTAAGTTCTTTTCACGTGAAGCATTGAGGCAGTGGCATACTGTACAGGCAGCTCGTGATTGATTCATGTACTGCCCGCTTCTGAGAAATTCCGAAACGACAACTGTACAATACACACAGGAATGGCAAGTGTCAACAAACAACTCCAGCCGTCAGAAAAATATTATCTCTTTCGATGAGAGTAGCTAGTACTCAGTACCACGGAACTTACGGTTTCGAACCCTAAAATTCTGAGACTTTTTAGTCTAAACTGTATGGAATTGTAGAAACCGCCCCATTGAGCCAGGGAGGACTATATGACCAGAGTCATTCAAGGCCATTCACGGCCATCAAGCAGGCCACCAGTCAGAGGGCTTTTTTTCCATAATGTCGCAAGCGCCAACCGTTTTGGGCGCAAAACGCACTTGTGCGACAGATGGCGACCCTAGAAGTGATGCTACCCTCGATCCTGCACCAATAGTACCCTCCAAACGACCAACCACCTCCACTGCCCCCCAGGTCACAGACAACAACTACCTAAACTTTCTCGCATGGATGAACCACCAGGCTATCAAGCCACCTCCAGCTCCAACTATGCCACCAGCCACAGCTGAAACACAGCCCCCCCCACCAAGTAATCCGAGTGAGACAATTGCTGGTGCAACGGGTGAACTCGTAGAGGACGGTGAGGCAATCGCCACCTCTAACACAGCCGTTCAGCCACGATTTGCCCCCGTCAACGCTGCAGTTCCAGTGAGGCCACGAACCAGTGAGTGCATTTTTTTTTAATATGTTTTCGTGTTGCCTAGCTGGATGCTTTAAATTATTTTAAACCTTGTCAACTACAACAATTATCAACGCCAAAATCCTAACATGCTTATAATCGCTGACACATATTTCCTGCTTCTGTTATCAGGTTCTCTTCATCCACGAGTTGAGGCGGGAATACATTTGGAGGCTCAGTTGGAGGATGTTACAACCACGCTGCAGATTTCCCGCCAACGCGAGGAAGAACTTCAGAACTTGGCGGACAGCAAGGACCTCGAGCTGGAGCACCTTCGAAGCGTCGTTGCAGAGCAGCGTCAACGCATTGACTCGCTCGAAAACCGGGCGCTATCCGTGTCTGCACCGTCTCAACTCTCAAACCCGGCTGGCACCGTCATTCAGGGCCCCGCGCTCCAATGGGACGTCACCAAGCTCGACGTCGTAAACGGGGTCATTAAGATTCCGACAAAGCTCACGGATGAGCTTCAGATTGGTGTAAGATTTTCGCCCGTGAACCCAGTCGTTACAACATTATTGTTCTCTATGTGTTGTCAATTCTAACGACCGTTGTTACCGTAATTTGTTCCCAGAATTTTACGAGTGACTCAATCTATTGGCTGACAACCGTTGCCCCTGGAAGCTACATGAGCTTTTTTCCGGAATGGTCAGAGCTTCAGCACATCGTCGCCATGAAGTATTTGGAGGACGGGGTAAGTAACGACGAGTTCTATTATGCTATTTCTAGAGATTGTAAGATGCGGGAGACTGCCAAGAAGAAATGCTCTGAGCGTCGTTCTAACCTGAACAGCCCGATTAGAGTGTATGCTTGGGGCTTTGGCGGATTCTACAACGAGACGGTTGTAGCCACCCTTGTCGCAGTGGGGATCCAAGTTGGATTTGTGAGGTCACCTGTGCAGTGGGCAGAAAAGTTTAAGCATGGTGAGAATTATTCCCTTACTGTCCGCCTATTGTGTCTTTTAGAATCCAGGATATACTCATATCTGTTTTGTTTTTTACTTTGCAGATCGCTATGGCTCTAATTGGCATTGCACCGAAGGCGAGCGTCCCTTTTCCAACCTAGGCTGGATCATGGCAGTGAGCAAGGCTTTCGGTGGCGTGAAAGCTACTGCCTGGAACGTCAAGCTTGTTGGAGCCGCGTATGTGTGCTACGTGGTAAGTTTCAATGTATTTTCCCAAGTTTTACTTCTTGAGGTGTATCTTACATTGTTTATTTTTTACTGTTCATGTGCAGGTTGAATGGCCAATGGCCAACGCAAAGGGATCCAAGGTTCCTGCGATGTCTGGGAATGAGCTCCTCAACACACAGAACATGCGGAGGAAGACTGAAGAAATCATCTCGTGGCTGAAGGAGTGGTACATCCGTGATCCCAGTGTCTGGAATCCAAGCCACCCTGCTGGTTTTCAAATGTGCAAGGCAGTTAAGATTGAGATAGACGGTTTTGAGAGCCAATTTTTTCCAAATGGTGTTCCAGTATAGTTAGTTCGTAGTGAATAATTGCATGGTGATGTTTGTAGTACAGGCGCTAATAATCTAATGACCACCAAGAAGCATGTTTATTTTAGCAATGGGTGGCAATGTGCGTCTTCTAATCAATATCAGCGTTTATAACGAATTGAACGTGTATATAAAATTTGCGGTATTTTATATACTAACATTCAAAGTTAGTTGCATGTACTTACGAAAATCTGAGAGAAGTGTATATTATCAAAACTTAAGGGTATTTGCATACAGTCACATATTGTAAAAAACAAGCACAATTAAGATTTGATGGTGTACAGTCTGACGGTTTCTATGCTTGTTGGTGTCGATGTAACTGAAAGCGCGCGTGGTAACAACTCTGCCTTAAAGCCGGCGGCCCAAATTGTTCATGCTTTTAAAAGTTGACCAGTGGGAGTTTTTCTGGTGTCGGCTTTGGCGAGAGTTTCCGATTTCGTCTAGGTTCGTTTTTTTCGCGAGACCCAGCCAACCCTCGGTTTTCCCCCTGGTGAGTGAATCTGTCTTCGAAAGTCCCAAATTGCAAGTGCGTGACTTTCAAAAGCTTGGACACTCAACTTCGTCAAGTTTTAAAAACTTGACCCTCGCGGCCCGCAATTTGGGACGCGGGCTTTAAATTGCAGGATCCAACCATCTCTCACACAATCGCCCCATTCGCGAAGGGCCTACACACAATTGAAGTCCGGTCGGGGTGGTTGTTGAAAGCAGCTCACCAACATTTATAGCCAGTCACGACAATCTACCGTCATCTCACGCGAATGGCAATCGCCATTTACAGACTTCGATGAGTGAGGCTGGTTCCAGCCGTGAAGATCCAAACCCTCGATCGTCAATGGGCAGCTCAAGCGATCGCGAAATCCAACCATTCACTGCCCTAAATCAGCAATTCACTCCCTTACCCAGGACCCGAAAATTTCCGATGTAGTCGTGCTAGGCTTCCTCCTGTATTAAGCCTTACTGCTCTCGAGTAAACGTAACCTCCTGAAGTCCCATGCAGGAGTAGCAGCAGCAGAGAGATGGGATCGTAGGCGATTGTACTCTTTTTTTCCCCCTTCATGGTTTGAAAGTCGAATGCTGGCCAATGGTCCAATAGCAGCGCAGCCGCCGCGTCAGATTATTATACGCGAAGAAAAATGGGTTGTCTCGTGTCGACATTAGGTACGCGCCGATCCCCTATGTCTCAGGCGCTCAGACACTCTGAATAACGACTCGGCAGAATGTTAATGGCTGTTGTCTAGGATCGTCTGGTCATAAGGCTTCGCTCGATCCGAAGCGGTTCTGTAATCGGCGACTCAGGTTTTCCGAAACAAAAAGAGAATTCTATGCATAAATAACCCATATTCAGACCCTTTTTTCTGTCGTAACGCCGCGCAATCACACAAGTTGAATATTGAGTCTAAGTCGGCATTAGCCGTGTCTTTGAAGTCTCATTTGATTATTTGCGCAGGGGATCGCCGACTCGAACGCAATGATAACCTTAACATCTCTTCTTCCCGTTCGCCCTTCTTCTGTATTATCTTCAATTCTCCCATTCCACCATCCCGTCTCCATCAGACGACGGCGGAACAAGCGCAACAATCACTGATAGCGGCGCCAGCAAGAGCGGCACCAGCAGCCATAATAAATCCTCTTTCCAAACCGCCGCTACCTCTCAAATATCCGACAAATTTGTGTCGGCGGACAGTTCAGGCACGAACCTAAGTGCCGGCGACAGTACCGGCGCCATTCCCAACCCTGCGAACCTCGTCCCGAGCTCCCTGCGACAGTTTACGTTCGCCGGACTCGAGTCCGCGACGAGCAAGTTCCATCGGCGAAACTGCATTGGCGAAGGCGGGTTCGGGATCGTGTATCGGGGGGTGCTACAGCCGGGGCCGAATGGGCTTGGCGCGGAGCCGACGGAAGTGGCGATCAAGAGAATGCGCGAAGCGAGCGATCGGTACACGGAAGAGTTTCTGGTGCGTGCGTTTTTTTTTCTTTCTTTCTTTTCTTTTAAGGCGCGTGCGTGTATGAGTGGTGGGATGCCATCTTTCCGACTCCACTCTCCCACGCTATGTCGATCCCCGCGATTGCATGAAGAGGTGATTGTATCGGGGTGGCTATCCCATCCACCCCACACCTCGTGCGTCTGCACGGTTTCTGCATGGGCCCTTCACATCCCCACCCCCACACAACCCAACAGTCAATTCCGACCCTTTGCAGAAAGAGGTGATGGTACTAGGCCGGCTGTCGCACCCGCACCCGCACCCGCATCTCATGCGTCTGCACGGCTACTGCAGGGATCGCATCCAGCCCATCCATCTACCCAACATCTCTCCTCCAACCCCTCTCAATCCCTCTCGTGCAGAAAGAGGTGATAGTCCTGCGGCGACTGTCTCATCCCCACCTCGTCCGTCTGCACGGCTACTGCATGGATTGCTCAGCTCAACCCCTCAACCCAACCCAACCCCCCTTCCCAACTCCGCCCGCCATTCTTTCTCTTGCAGAAAGAGGTGATCGTGCTGGGCCGGCTGTCGCACCCCCATCTCGTGCGCCTGCACGGCTACTGCAACTCAACCCACCTCAACCCATCCCCCTTCACAACCCCTCCCAACCCCGTGCAGAAAGAGGTGATCGTGCTGGGCCGGCTGTCGCACCCTCATCTCGTGCGTCTGCACGGCTACTGCATGGAGCGAGATGAAGCTCTGCTCGTGTACGAGTTCATGACTGGAGGCTGCTTGCACCGCGCGCTATCAGACAGTGAGTGGGGTGGTGGGGGTGGATAGCCACCAATTACTGTAGACTCGGCTCTTTCCTCGCTCTGCTCGTGTACGAGTTCATGACTGGAGGCTGCCTGCACCGCGCGCTATCAGACAGTGAGTGGAGTGGTGGGGACAGGGAGTGAATGGGGTGCTACGGGTGGTACACCACCTGCTGAGACCGGACTCAGCTCTTTCCTCGCTCTGCTCGTGTACGAGTTCATGACAGGGGGTTGCCTGCACCGCGCGCTATCAGACAGCGAGTGGGGGATACCTGGCAGGCAGGGGGTGTGAAACTAGGCTGCTCGTGTAGAGTAGCCTCAGCTCTCTCCTCGCTCTGCTCGTGTATGAGTTGATGACGGGGGCGGAGCTGTTTGCACCGCGCTCTACTGGACGGTGAGTGGGGGGCCAGGGATGGGTGGTTAACCACCAGTGGTACAGGTAGGCGGTGAGTGGGGTGGTGAAAGGCAGGGGGAGTGCCTCAGCAGCTCTCGTCTCTCTCTGCTCGTGTACGGGGTCATGACAAGGCGCTGCTTGCACCTCTCTGCCAGAGAGTCTCTGCCAGAGGCGCTGCCAGAGCCTCTGTCTCATCTAGCACGAACTCCGCCTTCCCATTCCTCACTGCTCACTCTCTGTCGTCTCCTCCTCCACCCCCCCTTTCCTCTCCCAGGTGCGAGCGGCGAGCTGTTTTTCAGCTGAAATGTGCATTTCCTTCCCACTCTTCACTACTCACTCATCCCGTCTTCCTCCCCCTACCCCAACCAACCCCCCCCCCCCCCTTCCCCCACACACTCACCAGGTGCGAGCGGAGAGCTGTTCTTCAGCTGGAACATGCGACTCAAGGTGGCGGTGCAGGTGGCAGAGGCTCTCGCGTACATGCACGGACTCAACTTCATTCACCGGGACCTGAAAGCGGCCAACGTGCTGCTGTCACCGGTAAGGGCACGGATGGGAGAGGGGAGGTGGGCGGGTGGCTTGGGGAGAGTGGGGTAAGGTGGCGGTGCAGGTGGCAGAAGCACTCGCGTACATGCACGGACTCAACTTCATTCATCGCGACCTTAAAGCCGCTAATGTGCTGCTGTCACCTGTGAGTGCGTGGGTTGTAAGGCTGCTCGCCTGTGAGTGGAGGGTTGCTGAGGAGGTGGGTGGCTTGAGGGGACCGGTGGAAGGTGGCGGTGCAAGTAGCAGCAGAGGCGCTCGTATACATGCACGGACTCAACTTCATTCACCGCGACCTTAAAGCGGCCAACGTGCTGCTGTCACCGGTAAGGGCAGGGGAGAGGAGAGGTGCGTGGGATGGGGAGGCAGTGGAGGCAGGGGTGGAACCGTGGCAGTGCAGGTAGCAGAGGCGCTCGTGTACATGCACCGACTCAACTCCATTCACCGCGACCTGAAAGCAGCTACTGTGCTTCTGTCCCCGGTAAGACCGCATGCGCGTGAAGGTGGGGAGGCTGGAGAACATGGCGGTGCTGAAGGTAGAAGATAGCTGAAGGTAGAAGATAGCTGAAGGTAGAAGATAGCTGAAGGTAGAAGATAGCTGAAGGTAGAAGATCCAGCAATCCAACAACAATCCGTCTTGCCCTCTCCATTTAAGCTGTCCCACGCTCCCTCCAAATCTCTCCACTCGTCCCTTCCCCACCGCCAACGCCACATGAGTACGATGCAAAGGTGACAGACTCTGAGAAGGTGCGAGCCATCACATCCATCAGTCATCAACAAACTTTGGGACGTTTTTTCCCCCTCCGAACTCTCATCCCTTCCATCTCCACGCCACAGGAGTACGATGCGAAGCTGACAGACTTTGGCATGGTGCGCGTGGGGCCGGAGGGACAGCTGGAGTCGATCGTATCAACGCGCATCATGGGCACTGAGGGGTACATCGACCCCACCTACATGGAGACTGGTAGGTCTACGTTCATAAAGGCATGCTGCGTATGGATGATGCATGAAGAGTTCAGTAGTGCGCATCATGGGCTGGGCACGGAGGGGTACATCGACCCCACCTACATGGAGACAGGTGTGTGGAGAGGATTTTGAGAGGCATACACAGGATTTGAGTGGGGTTATTAGGCAAGGAGGGTGGGAACAGATGGGCTGGACTTAAGTTTGTTGACTCGCATCTTGGGGACTGAGGGGTACATTGACCCTACTTACACGGAGACAAATGCCTTGAGTGGGACTGTGACTGTGGCTATGTGTATATGGGGTATATGTTCGACCTGCATTATGGGGATTGAGGGGTACATTGACCCGACTTACATGGAGACAGGTACTCCAAAGGTTTTTTTGTGAGACAAGGATTCCAGGGGTTTTACTGAGAAGTCATGAAATCCATGGATTTTAGAGAGGAGACGGATGTTACAGTGGGGAAAGCATGAGAGCGAGAGGCATGATCGGTATGGTGCGGGTGGGTGAACACGAATGGCTGGGATCAGGGTATCCTAGTAGGGCGACTAGAGCCAGCCAGGAGGGTATTGTGGGCTTGCATCATGGATACATAGGCTCGATGCATGTATCCCCCAGTGTGACCAGTATGCATGCTCGCATCATCAGCACAGAGGGGTATCATCATTGCACCCTCTCCCCCCCCCCCCCCCCTCGTGTTTCCTCCCGACCCCTCACCACACCTCACCACACCTCACCACCCCTCACCACCCCTCCCCCCACCACCACAGGTCACCTGGGTGCCAAGAGTGACGTCTACTCCTTTGGCGTTCTCCTGCTAGAGCTGGTAACCGGCAGGAGAGTGGTGGACGAGGGAAGCAAGATGGTCACCGAGTGCCGAACTCGCCTCTCCGATCTCTCACTTAAAGCCGCAGAATATGTTGATCCGCGTCTTGAAAACCAGTACCCGGAGCTGGGCGCCCGAACCTTGGCGACTCTGGCTCGGCACTGCGTGGCAGAGGCTCGGTCGAGCCGGCCGGACATTGGGAGTGTATTGGAAAAGCTTAAGTTATTGGTTAAGGCGTGCGCAAATGCTGAAGCGAAAGCGGCAGCTAAAGCTGCAGCACTGGAGGCAGGGGAATCAGGGTCGGCTGAAAGGGGGAATATGGAGGTGAATGGGGGTGAAGAGGGATCGTCAGCAGCTGTGGCACCAGTACAGGTTCTTGGTTGATTTAGTTCCTGATTACATAGGTTTTCCTACTGTAAGATAGCTGAAGAGGAACGCCTTAAAATGTTTGCAGAATACAACTAGTCGTACAGGATTTGGGTGATCATGCTGGTGTAGGGAGCCATAATACCCAGTTTTATTCGGCCTTACGGAAGGTCTTTTGTGGACCTTGATCAAGAATATGTTGTGGGGCCTTTTTTCAATCTTCAGACACGTGAGCAGTAGCAGCTAGAGTATGGAGGAGGAAACACTTATAATATCACAGAAGTGTTCCACAAGCGAGGATGTGAAGCCGGCTTCTGTAAGTGGAACTGCGCTACAAGGCACCACCAAGCAACTCTCACTTTCAATTCCACCCGCACGACCAGTGGTGGGTGGGTGTGCCCAAATGCCCAACCTAGCTGCCTGTTTTGTGCCATGTCGCTTGTTCATTGGCTGTTGCTCGACGCTTGTCCCCGACCAATATCCTCCTGGCAGAGAAGCAGGGTCTGTCCGTCCCCCGTCAACGTTTCTCTGTCGGCTCTTGGGTATGGAATGGAAGCTGCGACTGTGCTGCCAAATAGTTCTTTCGTCAGGTCGTTGGCGATGGTTTTTGTGGCGAGAATGGTTCGCGAGGTGCAGACGAGGTTGTTACGAAAATGCAACCAGGCTAACACACGAAATCCGGAGGGATTACGCAAATGGTTCCCTCAGGATTCTCACTCACACACTCGTCTCGCCTCGAAAAAACCCGAGAAACCATTTCTCGAGTTTCTTAGTGTATTCGCCAGTCTTGCTAAAATAGGAGCCTGCTTCTTGCTGCTCAGGTCGTTGACGCCTCACTGATACTGGGGGTATCAGCACCATTGCAGTGAAACTATTTTAGGGCCGCATTTGACGCAAGAAAGAGTATTCTTAATCGAAGCGCTCTTATCCTTCCTTCTCCAGATCGTACCCAGTGGCACCGATCGTTGTTATGTTGGATATACTTGGCCATAACCAGCACACGGAACGCATTCGCAGCCGCTCGTAATCGCATCGCGTGCAAGGCTTTCTATCACGTGTCTTCATGTTCAGCGTTACTGCGTAACTGAGTAAACATAATCGCCTAATGTCCTATTACGCATGCATGGAAAAGCAGGCAGTGGAATGGGAATGTAGCTGACAGACCGTTCTTTTTTTTCTTCCCTTCAAGGTTTAGAAGCTGAATTTTCATCCAATAATAGCGTCGCAGCGTCAAACTCTTCTTACTGAAGAAAAATGGGTTGTTTCATGTCGAAAATGGGTACGTCCGACGTCAGTCCCATATGTCTCTCTGACGCTCTGAGTAACGATTCGGCAGAAAGTTAAATACATCTGCTGTTGTCTAGGATCGTTTAGCCGTAAAATGCGCTCCATCTGCATCAAACCTGTTCAGAAATCTCATATTTTTTTCTGAAGCAAGCGAAGTGATTAAATGCCAAGTTATCCAAATGTGATCATTTTCAAGCGGATGGGGTAAGTCGACTCAAATGCGATGGTAACCTTACTGGTGCTTCTCCCCTCTCCATTTCCCTTCCCCTGCAATAACCCCGATTTCCCTTTCCATTGTCCCTTTTCAATCAGACGACTGTGAAACAAGCACATCGATACTTGATAGTGGCGCCAGCAAGACCAGCCCCAGCAGCCAGAATAATTCGTCTCTCAGAACCGCCACCTCTCAAATTTCCGATAATATTGGTTCGGTCGACACTTCAATCCCGAATCCTAGTACCATCAATATATTTGTTGTGGTTCCGACCCCGAATAGTGCAAGTGACACTGATAAGTTAATTTCGGTCGACGGTTCAACAACGACTTCTGGAGCCAGTGACGCCGATAATAGTGTTTTGGTCGACGGTTCAACGTCAACTCCCAGTGCCAGTGACACCGATAATCTCGTTTCGCTTGACGGTACAACGCCGAATGCTGCTACTAGCGCCAGTGACGCTACCAACGACAATCCCCACCCTGACCTCATTCCGAACTCCCTGCGACGGTTTTCGTTCGCCGAACTCGAGGCTGCGACGAACTGGTTCCATCGGCGAAATGACATTGGCGAAGGCGGGTTCGGGACCGTTTATTGGGGGATGATCCCGCCGGGCCCAAATGGGCTTGGCCCCGAGCGGAAAGAAGTGGCGATTAAGAGAATGCGCGAGGCGAACGAACGATATGCGGAAGAGTTTCTGGTGCGTGCGCGCGTGCGCTCGAAATGGGGGGGAAATGGGGGAGAAATGGGGGAGCAATGGGGAAGAGATGGGAGAGAAATGCGGAAGAGTTTCTGGTGCGTGCGCGCGTGCGTGCGTGCGTGCGTGCGCCCGTGCGTGGGTGCGTGGGTGCGCGGGTGCGCGGGTGCGCGGGTGGGTGGGAGAACAATGGGGGTTATGATACTACTGCACGTGCGTGCACGAGATGAGACTGCAGAGAGAGAGAGAATCGTGCTGGGCCGACTGTCCCGCCCGCTGCTCGTCCGTCTGCATGGTTACTGCATTGAACGTCTACGTCACATCACCCTGCTGTTCCATCACCCTGCTCCCACCTCACCCTGCTCCCACCTCACCCTGCTCCCACCTCACCCTGCTCCCACCTCACCCGGCTCCCACCTCACCCTGCTCCCACCTCACCCTGCTCTCGCCACACCCGCCTGTGCCTTGCAGAGAGAGGTGATCGTGCTGGGCCGCCTGTCCCACCCGCACCTTGTGCATCTGCGCAGCTACTGCATGGAGCGCTCATAAACACACCCCGCTCCCATAATCCCCCTTTGTCCACTGCCGAATCACTGCAGAGAGAGGTGATCGTGCTGGGGCGGCTGTCGCACCCGCTCCTCGTGCATCTGCACGGCTACTGCATGGAGGGGAACGAGGCTCTGCTCGTGTACGAGTTCATGCCTGGTGGCAGCCTGGACAAGGCGCTATTAGACAGTGAGTGGGGTGCTACGGGTGGTTATCCACCAGACTAGAGTGGACTCGGCTCTCTCCTCGCTCTGCCTACTCGTGTACGAGTTCATGACTGGTGGCAGCCTGGACAAGGCGCTATTGGACAGTGAGTGTTAGGCAGGCGGGCGGCGAGTGGGGTGGTGAAAGGCACGAAGCTGCTTGTATGGAGTAGGAGTGTATCAGCTCTCTCCTCCTCTCTCTGCTCGTGTACGAGTTCATGTCCAGGGGCAGCCTGGACAAAGCTTTAACGGACAGTGACAGGAGTGCTTGGGAAAGGTGCTTGTTATTGCCGTTTGGTCTCGTCACTCGCCTGTCTGCCCATGCCGCAACCCCGCACGCCCCCTCCACCCACCAGGTGCGAGCGGAGAGCTCGTCTTCAGCTGGAACATGCGCCTCAAGGTGGCGGTGCAAGTGGTGTGGCAGAGGCCCTGGCGTTGCGTACATGCACCTGTGACACGCACCACCATCCCATTTCCCTGTATTCACTTCTGTCGTCTCCACCCCTCCTTGCTCCCATTCCTTCCTCTACCAGGTGCGAGCGGAGAGCTCTTCTTCAGCTGGAACATGCGGCTCAAGGTGGCGGTGCAGGTGGCAGAGGCGCTGGCGTATTTGCACGGACTCAACTTCATTCACCGCGACTTGAAAGCTGCCAACGTGCTGCTGTCCCCGGTAAGGGCGGGAGAGGGAAGGTAGAAAGTAGCCTGAGGCGCTGGCGTACATACATACATGTAGCTTCCCATGCCACAGGAATACGACTTTTGAGAATGGTGCGAGGACTTTGGAATGGTGCGAGGCATCACATGTAGCATCCTCCCACTCGTCTCTACCCTCGCTAACCCGCCCTTACCCTCCCCTCGCCACAGGAGCATGATACCAAGCTGACAGATTTTGGGATGGTGCGCGTGGGGCCGGACGGGTAGCTAGGTTTTGATTCCGGCATTGACTGCCCCTTACCCGGATCCCTTTGAATCTCCCACTCGTCGTTCCCTCTCCACGCCACAGGAGTATGATGCAAAGCTGACGGACTTTGGGATGGTGCGCGTGGGGCCAGATAGGCAGCTGCAGTCGATAGTATCGACGCGTGTCATGGGGACCCGGGGGTACACAGACCCCTCATACATGGAGACAGGTGTGTGTCGATTTTTGAGGCGCCTCAAAGACAGGTGTGTGTGTAAGTGACTGTAACTAGCACGCATACCATCATGGGGACTCGGAGGTACACAGACCCCTCATACATGGAGACAGGTGTGTGTGGAGGGAGTGTTGAATAGCATACACGATACAGGGGGTGTGGGTGGGGGGATGTGAGTCGATTACAGGGGACTGTGACAAGCATGCTTCCTTGCATTATGGGGACAGGTCCGCATGGACCTAGGGGATTCTGAATAGCATACAGCAAGTAGGGATGGGGTTACAGGTAAAGCGAAGATCCTATGGGGATTGAGTACTAGCATACAGAGGGGGTGGCTGGGGCCACCTTACCGCTTCCTCGCTCCTTCCCGCCCCCAGCTCCACCCACCACAGGTCACCTGGGCACCAAGAGTGATGTCTATTCCTCTCTCCACTTCCCCACTCTTTCCCTGTCTCCCCCTCATTCCTCTCTCTCCCCCTCCCCTCCCCCTTCCTCTCTTCCCCCCCACCTATCACAGGTCACCTGGGAGCCAAGAGTGACGTTTACTCCTTTGGCGTGCTCCTGCTAGAGCTGGTAACCGGCAGGAGAGTGGTGGACGAGGGAGAAAGAATGGTCATCGAGTGCCGAACTCGCCTCTCGGACCTCACACTTAAAGCCGCAGAATACATCGATCCGCGTCTTGGTAACCAGTACCCGGAGCGAGGAGCCCGAGGCTTGGCGACTCTGGCTCGGCACTGCGTGGCGGACGATCGGAGGACCCGGCCTGACATTGGGACTGTACTGGAGAAACTAAGGCTGTTGGTGAGAGTGTGTGAGAATGACGAGGCGGAGGCTGCAGCTCAAGCTGCAGCATCAGATGCGGGAGGATCAGGGTCAGAAAGGGAGCAGAAAGGGGAGCCTACGGAGGTGACTGGAGGTGAAGAAGGGCCATCAGTGGCTGTGGCACCAGTGGTGGTTGTTGCTTGATATACTTTCATGTGAGCGCTGGTCTTTTCCCAAGGCTTGGCTACTCTGGCCCGGCACTGTGTGGCTGACGATCGGACGACCCGGCCGGACATTGGGACTGTACTGGAGAAACTCAGTTTGTTTGTGAGGGTGTGTGAGGATGCTGAGGCGGAAGCCGCAGCTAAAGCTGCAACGGTTGTGAAGGCGTTTGTTTCGGGATGATGAGGCGGAGGCGGCAGCTCAAGCTGCAGCATAGGAGGCGGGAGGATCAGGGTCGCTTGAAACGGGGGGATATGGAGGTGAATAAGGGTCATTAGCAGCTGTGGCACTAGTACAGGTCCTGACCTGAGGAAGTAGGTTTTGTTTCTGTAAGATAGCTGAAGAGGAACACTTAAAAATGTATGTGGAATAGATACTCAGTCCTGAAGGATTTGGATGATCATGCTGCTGTAAGGAGCACAAATTCCCAACTTTATTCCTCAGATTTTGCAAGGTCTTAATTGTTCGTGATATATTTGAATAAATCTAAATTTTTTAAAGTGTGTAACCCTTTCCAAAATTGTGTATTGTGCAAAGCGAAGCGAATTGTACCGAAGCAAAGGCTTCGGCAAAACGCTATTCCCCCACTTTTGGGTATAAAAGAGGGGGCGAAGGCCAATTTGGCCTTCACCCACGTTTTCATTTTCGAACTTTTGATTTTCAAGTTCCCAGCCCCCCCCACCCTAGAATGTGCTATGATGTTGTTCTTATGATGTAAAATGCTTGGACGATTGTTACGGGTGCAATGAATCGAAGTAGCGAGAATTGCACTAAGGTGTCAAACGAGTACAAAATGTGAGCGAAGGCATGAGCGAACATTTATACGCGAAACATGCAAACGGTAACGCGGTGCGTGCGAGCTAGCTAGTGTTACGCTGGAAGCGAGGCTCGGGCTAGTCCCGAAGCGTAGGCCGACACGGCCAGGCCAGCAGTGCGAGGTTTGGTGAAACAGTGCGCGCGAAGTCGGCGAAGCCCCGTTAGCAGTAACGGGCGAACAACGGCTGCTGCTGTACGCGATGTTGCAGGGTGCGCTAAGGAATATCGAGAAAATTCCTTACACTACCCCCCCCCCTCAAGAAGCCCCCTCCGCTACGTGAGTGCGTGTATATCGCGGAAGCCCCAGCTCCTCAGGTACACTTGCAGGGCAGGGTGGTTTTCGATGTTGGCCAGGGGCACCCAGCTGTCCTCAGTTGGCATGCGATCCTTCCAGCGAACGAGGAATTCAATCCTCCTGATTCCCGTGGGGTGTCGAATGTGAAACAAGAAAACAGGAATGAAATGACTAAGTGAAAGTTGGGTACAAAAAGGCAAACCCTAGACAACTGTACCCCATATGTGCTACCCCACTATAGCCTACAGTAGCTATGTCATATAAATCTGACACACCCCCATAGGCAGAGTGGGGGAGAACAAGGGGTCACAAGACCAGTCAAGCAAAACAAAGCAAGCTCAGGGTGGATCACAAAGTCACCACACATTCCGAGCACAAGTTCAAGGCCACAAGGCCAGTTCACATGCAGGATTACATATATATATAAGACTAGACAAGCAAGAGCAGGTGTATATATATATGCAACAGTACAAACAAGGTCAAGGGGTCAGCAAGTGAGGCAAGGTAGGCACAAGGCCCAGCTGAGTACAGAAGCGCTGATGATCACAAGGCGCAAGTGCCTTGGTGAAGATATCAGCAGTGTTGGCCTGAGAGGCCACGTACGCAAGCCGCAGCTGACCACGCTGCTGTAGCTCACGAGCAAGGAAGTAGCGGAGAGCAATGTGCTTCGTTCTGTGCTCCAGTCTCTGCTCTCGACACAAGGCCAGCATGGCCTTGTTGTCTACGTACAGCACTGGAGGAGAACGAGGCGGCTCTCCGAGGTCAGTCAGCAGGTAGGTGAGCCAGCGAAGCTCCTGTGCAGCCATGGCCCCGGCGTAGATCTCAGCCTCACAACTGGAGCCGAGAACAGAAGACGAGCGGGTAGCCCGCCACGAAATAGAGTCGGAACCAAGGCTGAAGGTGTAACCCTGTGACGACCGCTGCGTAGCCTGGTCGTCAGCCCAAGAGGCGTCTGCGTGCCCAGTGAGGACCACTGGACACTGCCCTCCAAGCACAAGCCCCATGCCCGACGTACTGCACAAGTAGCGCAACACCCTCTTCGCTGCAGCCATGTGCTCCGGTCTGTGTCTCCCAGGAGCAACATAGCGTGCAAGAATGCTAAGAGGGTATGCAAGGTCAGGTCGTGTGCAGGTCATCAGGTACATGAGGCAGCCAACAAGCTCTGGGTACGGGCCACTCGACTCTACGGACTCATCCGAAGGCAGAGCTGAGAGTGAGTGGCGAGTAGGCAGAGGAGTGGCCTGAGGCGAGGAGTACGTGAAGCCGAAGCGCTGAAGGACCTGCTGCACCATGTGTGACTGAGTCAGGGTAATGGTGCGGCGTGCTCTGTCCCGGGTGATCTGCAAGCCAAGGTAGCTGCGCAGTTCACCCAGGTCTGTGCACGTGTGTCTCTTCTGCAGCTCGGACTTCACGTGGGCGAGTCCAGCAGTGTCAGCTGTGGCGAAGACCAAGTCGTCGACGTACACGAGGATGTAGAACGGCGGCAAAGAAGTGTCGGTGCGCAGAAACAGCGACGGGTCGGCAGTAGAGGGAGCAAACCCATGAGCCGCAAGTGTAGTCCTCAGTGTGTCGTGCCAATCACGCGGTGCCTGGCGGAGACCGTAGACTGGGCGCCGGAGGCTCCACTGGGTGCCAGGAGGAAAAGACCCAGTGAAGCCAGGTGGGCGACGCAGCCAGATCTCCTCGTGCAGGCTGCCCTGCAAGAAAGCAGTGCTGAAGTCAAGAGAGTGCAGCTCGTAGTCGCGGTGAGCAGCTATG